TAATATTACTTTCCCTAGTAACCAATAATAATATTTATTTAGCCTTCCCCTCGGTCATCTTCCTCTTTTCCTGTACTTAGATATGCTAAATGCTGAGCTGATGTATGTTGAAAAGATATTTTGAAGATGGTTTAAAGATAAAAACCACTAGCTAATTAACTGACTATCATTAGCTAGCTAATAGTGTTTTGTTAATAACCAGATGTAACTACCTAGTAAAGGATAAATGTAGATTAGCTCTGTCAAGAAAACGCTAGCTAAGTTGCAAGCTAGCTAATGATTGATAGATTTGGTTAGCATTAACTAACTTAGGATTTGACTGTGACCATCTTCAAAGGGTGGTTATCTTTTCTACATAGATTAGCCTAGCACATAGCATTTCGTAGCTACACAAATAAAATTCCATTTAATGGAAAAAGTCTGTTCTGCATTTTCAATGGAAACGCTGGATCTCCACAATATTTTTATGCAGCCGGGCACATGAATGTAAGGTTTGTTTTCATTGATGATGACTGAACACTTTGTAGTGAGAAGAAGTTAAAGGAAAAGTAGTTTTAGGGGCAGCACTTTCTGTTTGAAGGAAGTGAGCACCAGCTGTAAGCCACACAACCTTTGTTTCATTTTCCTCACGCTTTTGCATCCCAAGAGTTCACGTGAAGGTAAGTGCTTTCCACGTAGATCCCTGCTCCTGTCCAGAAACTGTCCACCATCTGCCAACCACCTGATCACTTTCCCTCTGGCTTGCACACAACACAACCAACCCCCAACTTCTTTCTGTAAATCACTTCTTCACCTCTGGCTCGCACGCTCTCTCAGAACCAAGGAACTGCCTCAGATTTTCCTTCTTATCTGCAAGAACTCTCCATGACTTGACAACCTTCCCCCTTCAGTCTGCACTCAAGAGGCTGTAGCCGACATCGTCTTTATGGTGGACGGGTCATGGAGCATCGGCACCGAGAACTTTGAGCAGATCCGTCAGTTCCTGTACACGCTGGTCAGCAGCTTTGACATCGGGCCTGAGCATGTCCGCATCGGGCTGGTCCAGTACAGCAACAGTCCACGCACCGAGTTCCTGCTCAACACCCATCAGAACAAGAAGGACATTCTCCAGTACATCAGCACATTGCCTTACATGGGGGGCGGCACCCATACGGGTGATGGCTTGGACTTCATGCTGAAGGAGCACTTTGTGAAAACAGCTGGAAGCCGGGCAAACCAGAATGTGCCCCAGATCGCTGTGGTGATCACCGATGGCAAATCGCAAGACGACGTGAAGAACCAAGCACAGGAACTGAAGAGAAAGGGAATAGTTTTGTATGCAATTGGTATCAAAGAAGCGGACGAAGAACAGCTGAAAGAGATAGCAAACGAGCCGCACAGTCAGTACGTCTACAGCGTGTCTGACTTTGCAGCGCTGCAGGGAATTTCTCAGAACATCATCCAGACGCTTTGCACAACTGTGGAAGAAGTCAAACGACAACTCCTGCAATTGTCTCAAGGTAATATGTGTCCACACAGGTTGTGGTAAACCAGTGATCTAACTATTACTTGTATCTAAGTAATAAGAGAGCCTAGTATTACTTATGGCCCAACTTCAGAGATGATGATGTCCTTTTCTGTCGCACTGAATTTAATTGTATTATGTCGTGTTCAGACGTGTTTCAAGGGTATGCAGACATTGCTTGTTGCTCCGATGCTGACTTCTTTTTCCCTCCTGTCCAGAATGTGCCAAAGCCACCGTGGCCGACATCGTCTTCCTGGTCGATGGCTCTTCCAGCATCGGCATCAGTAACTTTCAGGAGGTCCGGCAGTTCCTCCGAAGCTTGGTCACGGGCCTCGACATCGGCCCGGACAAAGTTCGGATCGGCTTGGCTCAGTACAGCGATGAAACTTTCGAGGAGTTCCTGCTGAAGAAACACACGGACAAGAATGCCCTGCTGGCTGAGTTGGACACATTCCCCTACCGAACAGGAGGCACAGAAACAGGCAAGGCCATTGACTTCCTCCGGACGACGTACTTCACTGAAGAGGCGGGCAGCCGAGCCAGCCAAAGGGTGCCTCAGATCGCTGTGGTCATTACAGATGGGGACTCCACGGATGATGTTGTAGCGCCAGCGCAGCGCCTGAGACAGCAGGGAGTCATAGTGTTCGGCATTGGGGTTGGACAAGCTAACCTGCAAGAGCTCGGGTCCATCGCAAACCGACCTCCAGAACGCTTCCTGTTGTCCATCCATAGCTATCAGGCTCTGCAGACGCTGACAGTAGGTCTGCTGCAAACTGTTTGTGTCTCCGTTGAGGACCAGAGGCAAGGTAAGGCAAAGTATTCACAAACTTACAGAGTTCGAACAATTAAATCCAGGTTTTTAAAGCTTCAGTGTGTCTATTGTCAGAAATGGAATATAATATTCACAGCTATGTTTTCATTAGTGTATAATCACCTGAAAATAACAAATGTTGTCAGTATAAAAAAGAGGTGAGAGGTGTCTTGCTGTTATTGACCCGTCCTCAGCCCCGCCTCTTTTTGCTCTATACTCCAATAACAGTTGAGCATGCCTTGGTCAACTTCCTCCTTTTACTGTACTTAGATATGCTACTTGCTAGGCTAATCTATGTTGAAAAGACAACCACATTTTAAAGATGGTTAAAAGATCAAATATATACGTGACTATTATCTAGTTAGTAAAATACATCAGTTGTTAGCTAACAGATAAGTTTCCTTTTGGTAACATTATTTATCAGGTGTAACTATCTAGCTAATGATTAATGTAGATTAGCTGGTTAGTTAGCTAAAGCTTTGCTAACATTAGCTAACTTAAGCAATGACTATCAGTCATTTATATCCTTTAACTATCTTTTCAACATAAATTAGCCTAGCACATGATGGTTAAAATATAAAAGTAATTAGCTAGCTAATCTTGTTAATTAGCTGGTGTTTTGTTAATATTATCTGGCAGATAACCAAGTAGTGCCTGTTATTGGAGTACAGAGCAAAAAGGGGCGCGGCTTATGAAGAATTAATTGTGCAGTATTTTAAATAAATGTTACTTTTCCTCGAAAGCATATGTTTTACTGGCTTTGAACCTGCAGACGTACAACGTTAAGGCTCTGCAGTGATTAATGTTCACAAGGTCAGACGGTCTCGCAGTAATGCAGTGGCGTCCAAAAAATGCAACATTAAGAATTGTTTGGAGAAATGAGGACAAACTGTATTGAACTTGCTGTTATTAGTGTGGGAACTTAACACAGAAATGGTTCACTGGCCAGGCAGAGATCTCATAGTTAGCCTCATGTAAACCGTGGGACATTAAAACAGTTGAGTTGTAGGCATCCAGATAAGCTTTTAGCTTGATGCTTGTTCATTTTCCCGTACTGAATCAATCTCATTTGGAGTTCTTTGCTATGAAGAAAGATTTTAAATTTGTTATGTTATATTCCAGAGATCATTTCTAATTGTTGTTTTACAGCCATTACAGCCGATCTTCTAACTGTTCTTTTCACATTGTTTTCTTTCAGCTTTGGCAGAAAAGTTTGCAGATATTTTCTTCCTGGTGGACAGTGGCGTGGCTCCAGGAGAGTTCCAGCAGATCAGAGCCATCCTCACCCGACTCACCAATCAGCTCAACATCGGAGCATCCGCCTACCGCCTGGGTTTGGCGCAGTACGGTGAAAATATCAAGGTTGAATTTCTTCTTAATGCTCACCAAACCAAAGAGGAGAGCCAGAACGGCGTTAAGCGTTTCCGACAGCGCAGACTGCAGTCCGGTGAGCCTCGTAACCTGGGCAAGGCCTTGCAGTACGCCAGTGCTAACTTCTTCACCAGCGAGGCGGGAAGCCGGGCGGACCTGGGCTACCAGCAGTACCTGGTGGTTCTGAGCGGGAAAGATTCTAGTGATCCTGTGTACAGGGAGTCCCGTCTGATCAAATCATCAGGAGTAACTGTGGTGGGAATGAGCCTTGGTGTTTCCATGACAGAACTGCGTACCATTGCGACCGCGCCGTACTTATTCCCATCTATCAGCAATGCTGCACCTACACTGAAGGCTATTTTCGAAAGAGAGGAGCTCGAAACCATTCTCACTGGAGGTAAAGAAATTATTAAAATTATTTTTAATTTATCATTTGGAAATGTTTTTTTTTCTTTTTAATGTTTAATTAAAGATGTTTATACTGTAAAACCAATTAAATAAGCTTTAAATACAGGTGAACTCTGCTATAATACAGCAGAATGCTGTTATTATTGGATTTTTCTTATTTTATTCTGAATGTTAAAAGTTATAGAA